GAGGGCGCGCACGCAACTTGGGTTTCTAGTTCTACGCGGGTGCTGGAAAACGAGCATCACGGCACAAGTCCGTCTCTCTGCCCACTCCTTGCGACCGCCCACTTTATAGACATTGGCCACCCCTGCCACCACTCAAGCGCGTATATGCGCCAGGTCATGTGCTTTACCACACGCAGCACACGCCCACAGCGATGACCCGCTCACCGATGCCAAGGTACCCGCCCCGCCTTACCTGCATCCAGGGCCGCCTGCATCCCTCGTTTCCCGTGCCGTGCGAGATCGACGACCGCAGTGTATTGGTAGGAGAGCACCCCCCGCGTCAACTTGCATCCAGACGGACGTGTACCGTATGCCCTCGACGCGCACCGCGGTGTAACGGGGAATTCTAATGCGCTACACCTATCGTGGGATCTCATGCAACTCGTGTCATCAAGGTCTCTCCATCCCAGTCTCTTTCCTTTCTTTGCTCTCTGTGTTATAGTTTCTCTATCTCTTGCACTCCGTCTGTATTTTCCAAGTCGACTACTATCAGCGCCGGACCTGTTTTCAGAGATGTTTCAAATGGATGAGACATAGGAATTGTGCGCGAGACGGCGAGCCTCCTGCACCTGTGGGGGGCAGGTGATGTATGTCAATAGGATGCCGTCGTCATCGCTGTGGCAGTTTCAAGTCATTGCTCAATCCCAGGAGAGCATCAACAAGTCGGCGACGATGTCTATGCCGATGACGTGGCTTCCAGAACAAATTAGGCAAGTTTCTTACTATAGTTGGTATCTGGTCAGTGTACGCTCAAGGTCAGCTCGGTGACAAGGCGATGTGATAGCAAGTTTTTTCTTGGCAGCGTTTGTGTATACTTGAGGCTGGCGAATGCATGAATCTTCTCTGGCTTAAATAGTCTCGTATTAGCTCAGAAATTCGCTCAATTGTCGCATCTCCAAGCCGCATCAGTCGTCGAGTCGCAGTTGTCGGATTAGCTTGAATATCAGACAAAGTTGAGTAATCAGTATTGAACGATCTGCGACAGGAGTAGCTGATTTCCGGGCCTGGCAGCCGATCCCGCACTCAATCTCCTCTGACAGCGGAGCGCCCAAACGTCCAAGCATTCCACGGACGTAGTCTTGCATATAATGAATCTCCCTACTGAGTGCAAGGTCAGCGAGGGCGAGGGCGTGATGTGGATGCTTGGTGAGGTTGTGCACAGGTGCGAATCGGGCGAGGTTGGCGGACTGCGAGCAGCCGAGCATCGCTGGCTCTCTAAGATCCGACTCCAGCACTGCCATCAGAACGCATTGCTATCGGAGGACTTTGACTTCCCAGGGCAGTGGTAGATGTGCGGAGCCTCCCTCTCGGCCATGCTCTTTGTTCTTTCGGTGACTATGACAATGCCCAGAGCTTCATCCATAGTCTTCAACAAGTATATTTCCGCACGTCGCGGTGATCTGAAGCGACAGTGGTGGCAAGGGCTACAGCGATAATCTACAGAGACAGTGGTGGTAATCTACAGAAACGTGCTTGTCTATGAAAACAGTAGTGGCAGCAGGTGGCAGCGAGTGGCATCAAAACAGCGGTTGGCAAGGGCGATGATATACACAGAGACGAAACAGTGGCGGCAATTTGTTCTACGAAAACAGTAGTGGCAGCAGGCAGAAAACAGTGGCAGCGGGTGGCGTTTACAGAGACAAAACAGTGGCGGCAATTTGAGACAGAACAGCGAGAGTAGTAGAAACAATGGCGGTGAGCAGAAACAGCAGCGGCAGTGGGGTTACTCTGGCGGCGGCGCAGTCTTGACCCAAGTTGCAAAGTCAAACAGTGGTCCCCATTGATCACGCTTCATGTTTGTGTCTCGGATCTTGAATTTCTTTGACGAACATTGGTGAGGAAGGTGTTCGCGAATGTCATGGAATTGCTTGCGACATGTCGCTTTTGCGCACCGGTGCAGCCTTGCAATCAATTTGGAGCTGTCAGCGGGTGGTGCTTGGCCCTGTACACATATGCAGATGATCACTGGATGAGGGCATCGGACTCAACCACATACCTCAGCCAGTTTATATGGCATTCGCTCGCCAACGTTGTGCCCGTTCTCATCTATTGCAGAATATGCTTGTGCTTTGCAACAGCGATCATCCTTGCTGTTATAGACGTGGCTCTCGATGTCTTCAAAAATTCGGTGGCATCCCAAGCATCGCCAGCGCTCCTAAAGCAGAGACACGTTAGTTAAATAGTCATACATGTTTATCACTTGCCTCGTCCGCTCTCTTTCTCTTCGCGGTTGACGAATCCTCTGGAGCAAGTGTGGAAGTAGATGCCTCGGGTGCCAGATCAACGTTCAGAGTGCGTGAGTCAGGGATGGCAGGGGCATCTTTGCGAGCAGGCAAGAGCAGGCGGCGAACACGCGTGTGCTTGGTGGTACCACACATCGGTAGGCAATGTACCGTGACAAGATGACATATCAAGTCATCTTGCCCATATTTGCGTGTTCCACAGCTAGGTACGGGGCATTGGCCTGCACCTGCTCCGTGTGTCTTGAGGTGGGCCACAAAAACGCTCACTTCATCAAACCTGAACATGGTTTCAATCAGCGTACATGGAACGTGGAGAGTGGCAAGCACATACTGGACCATCCGTCGCGGCATTGTCAAGGTCTCATTATATACACAAAACGGGCAGAGCATGGGAGTCTGAGCAACACCATGCTCAATGTGTCCATGGAACTCGGGAAGAGCACCCCCAAAGCCAGAGCCAACTTCATACTCGACACATCGGTACACCTGGTCTAGGATCTTTGTATTGACGGGCTTGACATCAATGAGGCCGGCCCGCGTCCCAAACTGCTCGAATAGCATTTCATAGTGCTGAGTGCAATGGTCGGTCCACTCATCGTCATCACCCGTGATGTCAATGAACCTGTGTACATGAAATGCTGTTGCCATCAGAAGGAAAAAAAAAACCCCCGTACGGACCATTCGTTGCATATGAAACAATAATGCACGCGCACGTTAACGTGCAAATTGATCGCATGTGCTTCTGCAAAATGAGCTGCCCAATCGTCAGGGTGAGACTGCCCACAAACTGTGCCATTCTTTGTTTCCCAGCGACAATCAGCAAGACCACGCATAATCTTGGCTTTCTCTCCCAGGCACTGAATGTGAGAGCGCAATACATGTTTGACAAATGCAGCTCGAGTGTGCCAGACTATGTTCGCGTGCTGGCAATGCGCCCACTGGCAATAGCGTGGCCTGTATTCTTGCTCAAGAGTCTCATTTGCGTTCTGTATCTGCTGCTTCTCCACGCACATGTGGATGTGGCAGCCTGGCATATCACGGAATCGACTGGCCCTGTCCAGGACAGCGTCAGTTACAGGAAGGACAGCAGTGATGGAACACATACAAACGGCTGAGATCACGCAAACAAAGTGGGCATTTGTTGTCATTCATAGCAAACTCTCCCGGGTAGCACGGTTTGGAGAGATGAGTAGGAAGACCAAGGTAGCCGTCAACGGTCGCTATCAGGTGCTCATGATCTTTCATGTCCTCTGGTGGAACAAACAGAAGCTTCAGAAAGGCAGCATATGAGTTGCTTGGCTCCTCGCAAATCGCAGATGCTACAACGCTCTGAGTATCTCTTAACTTGGACAGAACACAAATACTCACACTGTGCTCCTACTGTTACAGCTTCAAGGGGGGGTTTCTTTCTTTTCCTAACTATTCGTCGT